ACGTTCAGCAGAGAAGCTTTTGGGTCTCCATCTGAACCCCACAGCCCTCCAAGAGGTATGCAAGCAGCAAAGGCACCTTCTGGCAAAGTGCTCCCCTCTTCAGCCTGCCACCCTGTGGAGGTCACTGAGGAGGAGCCCCACTCTGAACTCCATCAAGCCACTGAGGAGACTGGAGGATGAGCACAGGTGCCTCCCCCCAACACCGCCCCAGTGGTGATGGGTATTTCTGGCCAGGCGCCCCATGTTCTCAGGGAAGGCAGGAGGGCAGAGCCATGGCCTTTGCAGATGCTGACTTCCCCACAGCAAGAGGCACTTACCCACAACACATCCTTGAGCCACATCGTCGCACCGCACCAGTAGCCAAGAGCTGTGAGTCACATTGTCAAGAGATGATTATTTTCTTCAGGAGCTGGTCCCTCTTCCCAGGACTGAGGGAACCAGTTTTGGTCAGGGATACTCACTGAACAGGATGGGAAGCAGCAGGAAAAGGAGCCTCAGGCCCCCTCTGTCCTTCTGGCAGGTGTTAAGCTGTCTAAAAGAGAGGGAGCGCTGTTGTTGCCAAAGCCCAGGGTTGGAACACCTATTTGCCAGGGATCCATTTAGGAGCTCGCTGGGCTACCACGTTCCATGTGTGCCCAGCACAGCTGCACGCCTGAGGGCCCAAGACCTGCAGGTCATTGAGAAGGTCTGGGACACAAAGACCTCTGGGCCTGACACAGGGACAACAGCTTGGCCCTGCTTGGCTCTCCCCAGAGAAGGGTCAGGGCTGTGTCCCCGGAATGGGGGTGCTGTGCTGCAGGGCAGCGGGGCAGACAGACCCCATGCTCTGGGGCTGCTGCTGCTGCTGCCGGGAAGCCAGGCAGCACACAAGGCTTGTGGCACGATCCCTCCCTGCTCTCTGGGCCCCCTTGCTCCCAGCTGCCCAACCTGGCTGGCATCTCTGCAGACTGAGCACACTGTCCGGGCACAGGGAAAAGCCCTCTCTCCTCACGAGATCCCAGCACCTCTTCGCTATGCGTTGCTAGCTGCTGAAAGCACTGCTTCGCACTGTCCCCACTGCCGCGTGGGGCGCTTTTCTAAGGGGCAGCTTTATGATCTCACAAGAGAGAACTGCTGGTGCCCATGGCAACCTCAGGGGGACTGCCCTGGACGCCTGGGAGGAACACACCCTGGGGGCAATTGGGAGTAACTGGGAACCCTGAGGGTAAGACAGAACCCTGCTGGGGCTATCTTGGAACCCCTTAGGGCAACCCAGAACAATTCTGGGAACCACTGGGAACCCTCAAAGGCAACCGAGAACCCTTCTGGGGCAACCGAGGGCTTTTCAGAAATGGGAGTAACTGAGAACCCCAAAAGGCTACCAAAACCCCTTCTGGGAGTAACTGGGAACCCCTGAGCACAAAAAGAACTCTGCTGGGGGTTACTGGGAACCTCAAGTGCAACCCCATGCCCATCAGGGGAACAGGCAGTAACTGAGAACCCCTCAAGAACCTGTAGTAATCCCTGGAGTACTACAGTAATTGGGGTAACTGGGATGTCCGAAAGGCAACTGAAAACCCTTCTAGGGCTAACTGGGAGTAACTGGGAACTCCCATTCTCTGGAGAGCCTGGTTTGGGACAGTACATGAACTACATCAAGGAGAGCCCTTCTCAGCTGCTTCATGAGGGCATTATGGCTGCAGAGACCCTCATGGAACCTCTGTTTATCTGTGTTTCCATGGGAGGGTCACTTTGCATGTCAGATGAGGATATTCTTTTTTACTCCTGAAGCCATGAACTCCTGTTTTCCTCGCCCACACACCTGCCTCAGTCCGGAGTCTGGATAAGCCTGCTTTGCTGCCTTTTTCCAGTGTGTTTGCACCTGTCTTACACAGGAGGTGTTTATCTTGCATAGGAGGGCATACTGGTGACTGTAGTATCCGCCTGGCAGCAGGAACTCCTTTCCAGTAGCTGAAACAACTCACTGGGAAGGAAAATGCCATAGCTGTACACCAGACTTGACAGGAGCTCTTTCACTAGTGACTTCTGCATGGTCAAACCGAAGACCAAGGGACCCTGCTTTGTACCTGAGGCTGAATGTACCTGAGGCACATTTACACATCACTTTGAGCAGCTGCTAAGCCAGACCAAGAAGTTCTTTCCTAGCCACACAATAAATATGCATTTTTAGCAGCCACAAAAATAGATTTCAACAAGGCAACTGAGAACCCTTCTGGGGCAACCGAGGGCTTTTCAGAACCCATGAGGGAAACCTGGAACCCTGCTATGAGGTCTCTATGCAGCCTTCTCTGCTGGCTGGCTCCAGCAGCAGGGCGGGACGGACGTGGCCGTGGACTTGAACCTGGCCGTCCGGCTGCTCTTCACCACCCTGGCCCTCGTCCTCGCCTCCTTCTTCGTGAGGCCGCGGGGAGCAGAGGGAGAGCGGCCCCAGGAGCCGGCGGCCGCCGAAGCGGGCCGGGAGAGCGGCCCCGGGGACCAAGCGGCGGCAGGAGCGGGGCCGTAGGCCGGCAGGGAGCGGCTGCCGGTGGAGGAGGTCGGGGCGGCCGAGGAGTGGAAGGAGGCGGCTGCCGAGCAGCGGGAGAAGGCGGCGGAGGAGCCGAGCCCCGCGGCTGAGCCCAGCCTCGCGACGGCCGAGAGCATTCCCCGGAAGCCGCCCGCCGAGCCCCAGGAGGATGCAGGAGACCACGCAGCATTTCCCAGCAAGGCAGAGGAGGAAGAGCTGGACTCAGAAAAAGAGAAGCTGGCGGTGGGAGAGCCGGCAAGCACAGCAGCTACACCAGCCCCAGTGACAAGTACAGCAGCATCAACTGAGAGTTCTGAAGGTTTTGAATGGCCTTTGGGTACCCTTGGGACCTGCCTGCTGACTGATGGGGATCAGCACGTTGGCACACACGCAGACTGTGTTTTACCCACCACCATTTTGTCTGATCTCAAAAGTTAAGCAGAGTCAGGTTTGGGTCTTGTCTGGGGTTAGATGACGATATAGGAGGACCAGGAGATTTTCCCCAAGGCTGGACAGTCATGAGTGGCAGGGTGTGTGGGACAGTATGGGCAAGTATCTAGTCCACTGGGCCCCTCCAGTGCTTTGGAAGCATCGGAGGTGCAAGGCAGCTGTGTGGAGTCCCCAGCGACAAGCTGCAGAAACTGCTGAAGAGAACAGTGAGTTATTTTGAGCCTGGTGGGCCAATGGCACTTCAGGCCAGCAGAGCAGAGATGCAACATAGAGATGGGTTCATGATCGAGGGGTGGACTTAGCAATGGACACTATTGCCCAGGTTATTCACGAGTGTGAACACTGCACACAGCCTCTCCTGTTCTGAAAGGCCGTTACAAGAGATGGAGCCTGACATCATGGACCAGATGGACTCAGCCAGTTTTACAGGGACTAGTCCACGCACTAAGATAAGAGTGCACTTAGATAAGAGTGATGGTATATTGAAAATGTGGGATCTGAGCATGATGTGAATGGGATGGAATAAGGAGTGGATACTGTCCTGGGTTCATCAGTAGCAGTTGTTTTTTTCTCTTTCTTAGTAGCTGAAGCAGTGCTGTGTTTTTGACTTTCGGCCTCGGAACGGTGCTGATAGTACCAATGTTTTTAGTTACTGCTCAAATGTTTGGTCTGCCCAAGGACTTTCTGAGCCTCATGCTCTGCCAGGGAGGAGGGGAAGCTGGGAAGAAGCAGGGACAGGACACCTGACCCAAACTGACCAAAGAGGTATTCCATACCACGTCATGCCCAGGATGTAACTGAGAGTTACCCAGAAGGGCGAGGACTGCAGGGTTGGACTAGGCATCGGTCAGTGTTCGGTCGGGCTGGGGGGGGGGGGCGAGTTATCAGTCGGCTGGTGCTGAGGTGTTGTGTTCTCTTCCCTTGTTATTTCCTTTATCATTATTATTACTGGTGGTAGCAGTAGTGATTTGTGTTATACCTTAGTTACTAAACTGTTCTTATCTCAGCCAGTGGGAGTTGCATTCTTTCCAGTTCTCCTCTCCATCCCTCCGGGAGTAGGGGGAGGACAAGCAGGGGGGGAAGTGAGTGAACGAGCTGCATGGCTGGGTTTAAACCACGACAACCTGAAAGAGGGAAAAGTAAACCAAAACCTGGCTCAGGAAAATCCGTCCTTCAAAGAATCATAGAATCATAGAATGGTTTGGGTTGGGTTGGAAAGGACCTTAAGATCATCTAGTACCAACCCCCTTGCCATGGGCAGGGACACCTCACACTAAACCATGTTACCCAAGGCTCTGTCCAACCTGGCCTTGAACACTGCCAGGGATGGAGCATTCACAACTTCCCTGGGCAACCCATTCCAGTGCCTCACCACCCTCACAGTAAGAACTTCTGCCTCATATCTAACCTGAACTTCCCTTGTTTAAGTTTAAACCCATTACCCCTTGTCCTGTCACTACAGTCCCTAATGAAGAGTCCCTCCCCAGCATCCCTATAGGCCCCCTTCAGATACTGGAAAGCTGCTCAGGTCTCCACGCAGCCTTCTCTTCTCCAGCCCCAACTTTCTCAGCCTATCTTAATATGGGAGGTGCTCCAGTCCCCTGATCATCCTTGTGGCCCTCCTCTGGACTTGTTCCAACAGTTCCATGTCCTTTTTATGTTGAGGACACCAGAACTGCACACAATACTCCAGGTGAGGTCTCACAAGAGCAGAGTAGAGGGGCAGGATCACCTCCCTGGACCTGCTGGTCACACTCCTTTTGATGCAGCCCAGGATACATTTGGCTTTCTGGGCTGCAAGTGCACACTACTGAGTCATGTTGAGCTTCTCATCGAGCCCCAAGTCCTTCTCCACAGAATCTCTTATGTCCTCCAGGCTACTGCTATCTATATCCTTAGCACTCACATGTATCACTAGAAGTGGGTAACAGTCAGTGGGACTTACTAGATGTCCTGGGTTCAGCAGTAGCAGTCATTTTTCCCCTTCTTGGTAGCTGGTGCAGTGCAATGTTTTGACTTTCAGCTCGGGAACGGAGCTGATAACAAGCGATGTTTTGGTTTGGCCAAGGACTTTGTGAGCCTCATGCTCTGCCAGGGAGGAGGGGAAGCTGGGAGGAAGCAGAGACAGGACACCTGACCCAAACTGACCAAAGAGGTATTCCATACCACAGCACGTCATGCCCAGGATGTAACTGGGAGTTAGCCGGAAGGGCTGGGAGTCTGAGGGGTTGGAGGAGGTATCGGTCGGAGCTTGGTCGGGCTGGGGGGGGCAAGTTATCGGTCGGCTGGTGGTGAGATGATGTATTCTCTTCCCTTGTTATTTCCTTTATCATTATTATCATTGGTGGTAGCAGTAGTGATCTGTGTTATACCTTAGTTACTAAACTGTTCTTATCTCAACCCGTGGGAGTTGCATTCTTTTCGATTCTCCTCTCCGTCCCTCCGGGAGCAGGGGGAGGGCAAGAAAGGGGGGGAAGTGAGCGAACGAGTTACCTGACTGGGTTTAAACCACGACACTAGAGCAGGCAGCCTCTCTGCAGCATCCCTGATCTGTGCCCCTGGGACACAACACACCTCCCTTGAGACTGGGTCAGGCTGACAGACTAGTGCTTCTGTGCCTTTCAGAGTCCCCTACTACTATGACCTGACGCCTCTCCCTGGCAACACCAGTAGAGATCTTCTTTACCAGGGCATCAGCTGTCTGTTTCTGGTGCGAGTGCGTTTTCTCATCAGCCCCCGGCAGGACAGCAAAGCGGTTCTGGGTGAGGACAACAGATTTAGGAGGAAGCCCCTTACTTTTAATTTCCCTCTTCCTCCTTTTTTTGTTGTTGTTGTTGTTTGGGTGGGTTTTTTTGTTGTTGTTGTTACTATTTCCCAGATTCCTGGGTTAGTGGCCTCCTTTTTCCGCCATGAGCTACCGTGGACACTTGAGGCCTCTGCACAGTTTGGGCCAGGAGCAAGCATTCCTGCTTCCTCTCAGCTTCCCTGACATCTTGCAGCCTATTAATAGCACCCCGCAGCTCAGCCCCTGCTGCAGGAGGGCCTCCACCAGGGAGCACGGAGCGCAGCCCTGCCCATTGTGCACCCTCCCCTCACCAGACCAGTGCAGGCACTCTCTACACCCCGAGCTCTGCGCTGCAGCCTCCCCTCTCATCGGTTCTGTCTGGGTGCCTACGCCGGCCACCGCCG